AAACAGAGAAGAAGGAATCAGAATTCCATCAATGCAAAAAAAAAAGTAAATGTATAAACAGCTACATTGCCATGCTGTCCGTTCATTTATTTCCAATGTATCAGTGATTTGGGAAATGTCTCAGCGCTCATCAGGTTATCACAAGCTTCCATTCCTCCAGGAGCACGGAGTTGATTACTTGGCTGTCTGTTTGGAAGCATGTCCTCAGAGCTGACAGGTCTGAATGCCGAATTCTGCGGCCGCAGTAAATTACGTATCTCAATAGTTCATGGTACACGGGAGAGATCTCAAACAGGGTTCAGCGAGAACCAGACAGGCGTACAATATGGAGGCTTGAGGTGTCAACCGGTGAGCAACCGGTACATTTAAAAATGGTGATGCTGCCAGTACAACCTCAATATTTGTTTTCACACAGGAACAGAACACTTTACAATCTTGCAACAATAAACAGTGTACTTATTATTACTCATTTGTAATAATATTATCATCTAAACTGCTGATCATAGATCCAAACCACTATGGACCTAGGTGGCAGTAAAGCAATGGGCCCCAACATTACGGGGTATGACAGTAACCTTTCACGGTGGGGATTCACAACAGGGAGGCTTATCTGCTTAGAGTTTTAAATTTCTCACAATGTTTATATACATTTTGTGTTGCTCATTCCTATAATCCAGAAATTTAGGCTAGCCCTTAAATATGTGTACGCACATCAACGCCATTGAGGACAGACACTGATGTGAATGTTGTCTGTACAATGTAAAAAAAACACTGCAGTTTTCTGATATATTAAAAAAAAAAAAATACTTGCTTGTGATGAAACTTTCGCAATCCCTAATTAAAATATAGTCCATTACCACAGCACATGGAATAGGAGATAAGGCCGTCTTCACAAATTCATTTAAATATTATTCCCAGCCCGTCACTCAAGCCTCATATTCTTACATAGGAACATGATAATTGGACCACTGGTCTTCAGTATAAAAGGGGTATGACCTCATCAAATCCTTTAAAATGCAAGCCTTAAAATATAATGCTAAGTAAGAAAACATGTAAATGACAAAAGGAGGGGCTGAAGAGAGAGACTGCTGGGAATTTGGTGTTGTCATCATTCGGGGAAAAGCACTCTCGCCCCTCGGTACAAAACATGCAGGATCTGCCCCAAAGCCAAAATTTTAATTCAATTTCGTAGATCGATCAGCTAACAGCTGAAATGGTAAAGGAATAAGCCACCAAACAGTTTAATTTTTGCAGGTAAGTCGATTCACTCACATGTCTCTGATCTCACTCAGGAACATCTAAACTAAGATGCCTGCACTAAGTTCCCAGCTCCACCCACCCATGGCAGCAATAACAGGAAGGTCATACTGCTGAATTTTCCATTGGACATGAAATACCACTTGGATGGGAAAACCATGCCGCTGAAATCCCACAGCAACTTAAGCAGCTAAAGGTTCTTTCAACCCATTGGCCTCTACTCCTAAATGAGATATCAGCTTTAGTTGACATTATCCTTCAAGACCTACACACATCAAATGATGACTATAGTTTCACCAAGAACCTCATACATAAGGGTTTTCATGTTTCTACTGCTATAGGACATATATCACATATATCCCTCAGGACTCGACAGAATCTGTTTCACGTAGAATGTCATGACAGTATATTCCCAACCAGAATACACCTGACAGATATCTCCTTCTTCTGTCACTATCTATCACAACAATGACGATACAACAATGGGGGGTTATTAGAGATTAAGACGTTCAGTGACAACAGAGCTCCCTTTAAAACTCAGCAGCTTCTGAAATGCACCAGCATTGATATAGGCAAAACACTGCATCCATTAGATAAATGAGTATTAACAAGCAAAGCTCCTAAATCAAACTAGGTTCTGCTCCTGTAATATTGACCCGAGAGCTTCTTGCATAGCCTGAATCACAGGTCCATTGAGATCTTAAACACCCAAAAAGGTTGAACTGCTTTGTAGTGTACATGATATATAACCTTCACTGAAAAGTCATTACTTATTAAATATGTTTTTACTTTGTTATAAGAACTCTTTAAAAGACTCATCGCAAAGTGCCGACCCCAAGACCTAGTATTTTGTACAGTCTGAAAACTGGTGCACAGCTATATTAGGGTGGTTGCCTCTGAAAGCCAGTCAGGTTCCATCTTTCATTCTCTAGCCAGTGGAATCTGCGTAGATCAGCACCGATTCCATACAGATTTACATGGAAATCTGTATGGAATCGGTTTTTGGCCTTTTTTGAAAAAATGCTCAGGGAGCATTTTCGGGCAGCATGCAGAGCCTCGCGAGCGCATGAACAGTCCACATATGAATGTATGGGATCGTTCATGTTGGCGGTTCAGTGTGGAGAAATCCAACCGATTCAACCGCCTTGGTGTGAATGGGGCCTTAAATTGTTATGAATATGGTAATATATGGTATTAGAGTCAGCAAAGTCCTGTTGACATAATAGCCAGCTTACAACAATAAGCTGTGTTTTCGCAGAACAGTGTATACAATACAGTCATCCCAACCTGCAAAAACGAATTTCAGGGAGGTGCCCTCTCCTCCCGCAGGGGGGGGGGGGGGGGGGGGGGCGAGGAACACAAAAATCGGGTTGCTATGGGCAACAGTTCCACTTTTCTTGTATTGCTTATTTTATATCAGCCCCGCAGGATTGCCAATTCACTGTTCAAATATTGTTGTAGCCAAGTAAATATTATTGCTCAGCAAAAGGTCTTCTACGTGATATTATTATTCTATTTGTCAATAAAAAAGAGAACGTTCTGGCTGAGATCTGTGTTTGCCTAAAACATATTTTACTCTTAACTCAAAGCACAATGCACGAGCTGCAATAGCCCACAGTCACCATTAATCATTGTTCCTTGTCAGGACATATATAATATTATAGGCACTGAAATCGTTCAGCTCAGGTCATATCTTAGTGGATTGTATTCAGATCAGTAAAGGGTAACGTGTGATTGGTTACTTTAGGTTACTGCACTTGGCCCATCGCTCATTTTCAATGTCCTTTTAATAAACCTTCTCCGTATAGATCTCTTACGTACGAGCTGCCCCTGTTAACAAGCTGAAAAATAAAAAGGAACTCCCACCATCCTTTCGATGGAATGTGGCATTAGGAACACAAGCGCTCCCACCATGCACAGAAAAATGAATGTTGACAATAGACTTTCTGTTAATCTGGCCCGCTAATTATCCTGGCACGAGTCCCATATAGAGCATTTCAAATATTTTCTATGTCCATGCCTGCTGCAGAGTTGTGAGACTCCGAATCCCCCGTCTTTTGCCTTTTCCATAAATTACAGGCACAAACAAATTGTTATGAGTCCCACCAAAGGGAGAGAAAGGCAGGAAAAGGAAAATGCAAGGACAAATTAGTTCAGCTGGCTTTCGTTGGCTTGTTACGAGTTCCTTGCGGCTGATGGTGCAAGGGTTAACGCTCTGGACTTCATGGAAGGGGTGGCTTACAAATGAACGGAGGTAAAAATGATTAATCTTGGCATGAACAGGGGTCGGTAGCTGCAGTGGGACTACAAAAGCCAGCAATGCTTGCCGAGTCATTGCTAAAACAGTCAAGACTCAACTGGACTGTCCATCAGCTGGGGTTCAATCACAAATGGCAGCATAACCTGCCCAGGTTTGGTGAAAACAATACAAGCCCATTCGTTACTCAGTATCTACAGTGGAACTACAAATCCCAGGAGGACTCTCTTGTTTTTTCATGACTCATCATTTAGTAAAAATGATCAAGGCTGCAGAGGAAGAACTGTCAACATATCTGGCACATTAGGAGAAGATGATCTTAAGTGATCATTCGTCAACCGACAATCATGGAACTACAAATCCCATCATGACTTGGCAGGCTTTGGAAAAAAATAATCAAAGGCTGGTCGTGTGATGCGCAGCAAGTGCAGTGGAACTACAAAACCCATCATGCCTTGGCACACTGGGTTCTGTAGCTACCAAGCTCCATCCTGCCTTTTATCTAAGGGGTAACCAACATTAACGCTGTTGTATCATAGCTCCATTACCATCTCTCTGCAAAGTACAGGTGGCAGTTTGGTCTCTATACCAGAAGAGGGTGTGTTTGCATATATTAACAGGACTGCTAGAGCACCTACACC